TCGAGGTGAGACTCCTTGAGCGAAGACGTGACACCCTGAGTCCTTGGATAAGATGGCGCTACGACGGATCCTAGTTGGCATAGTAGCAGACACACTTGGTGAACCTTATCTTCCGATTCTCCGTTCTTACAACATTCACTCTATTTGTACCGAAGACACTATTTCCTTTTCTGTCCATCTCTTATGCCTCTAGCCTTTCGCACCTGTTTATGCATCCTAACCAATCAATCAATCAATCAATCATCCTAACCAATCAATCAGTCAATTCGCCACTGCCTGAAAATTATAGTGCCAAACTTGCCACCAATCCTCCTCTTCGCCACTTTTCATGGGTGATGGAACTGATCCTTTCTTTCAATTTCTACGTAGAAGCGGGGTACGCTGCCAATAAATTTGAGATTTATTTTTTCTTCCTAGTTTGTAAAGCATATACTGTAAACGAATTCTTTTTTGCGGGCTCAACATTTCGAAAATTCAGCGGACTGCGGTTTTCTGGAATATTTCCAGGGCACACAACTTCGCGGACGAGGATGGTACGCTATGTATTTGCTTGCCATTAGGAAAATATATTCGCACATTCTATTTTTCGCGGAAATATTCAAGTCGCAAATTACGCAAAAATTAGGTCCTTGCGAATATTAAGTCGTTTATAGCAAATCAAATTAGAGTACGTTTTAGAAAAATGACCTCCGGAGAGCATAAAAAAAGAAAAAGTGTGGCAATTTCTATATTCATATGCTGGCACAGCCAAGGGTTGCCTTCATTCTTCGACTGCGCCCAAATGATACCATTCACCCAAAGCTATCATAAAGAGACAGAAAAAAAAAAAAGTATCAACAACATGCCTATGTTCCCGGGCCTTCCGTTGCTAAATATGGAGGATATGCTCGTCTTTCCAAATATGTACACAAAAATGGAATAGTTACTCTTTGTAGGTCCGTCGTTCCCCGTAGCCCACTGCAAGGAAAAGAGCATGCCTTTCAGCTAGATAGGAAATAAGCTCGACATCGTTATTATAAGGATTGATATTGTCTTGTTCAAATATCAGTCTTTTTGGCAACTTCTACTCGCAGGCAGCACCGTCAGTTTAGGAACTTTATTTGTTTCTTATAGACCTTTTCCGCAAGGGCGCCGCCATCTTGAATTGTCGTCACTTCCAGTATGGGCAAAAACATTGTTTTGCCGTCGCCATTATTTGTTTTTTATATGACCAATTCGTAACGCTCAATCGCGAAAAAAAAAAAAGGGGGGGGGGGGGGTTGCTACTGATATGCATTTTTACGCACCCGCCAACACGTGTTTGTTTTGTGTCGCTGCAGGGGATACAAGCATACGGTTTATGCTCAATCATTTCGTAAACATAAAAAAAAAAAGAAAACTCATACGTGTGACATGTAAGCAACAAATCAAGGGCAATTGTGAACAATGCACTCAGACACTAAGCGCGATTTTTTACCACCGGGAGGACGCCGTTAGCGCTCGGGACGCATGACGCCGCGCGATTTTAGCGTCGTCGTTCACGAGTGAAAAATCGAAATACACCGGCTGGCGATAACCACGACAGGATGTCAGTTACACTGGGGAGGGGGCAGGAGACCGGAAGGGGCCACGCGGTCCCCGATGTTCTCTCCGACTTCCGGTCGCATCCACACGCGCGGCAAGCGGCCCAGCGAACGCAGCCGCGAGGCCCCGGTGTTGTGCACGATCGCGTGCGCGTCCGCCGCCACTCCAACGACAAATTCGGTCATTCGGCCCGTTCGCGTCAGCCCGAGCGTGACCCGAGAACAGGCCGTAAAAGGGGCTGCAGCACCCTGCCCGCTCGAAACTAGAAACGCGGGAGGGAGAGATACGATCAGAGGGCCTGTGGAGCGGCAGAGACCGACACTTGATGACGACAACAATAACTTGGCGTCGAAGACCAACCAGACGCACAAGTTGCGATCGACGCCAACTTTTTGCCGCGATCACGACGATGATTTGCCTGGGCGCTCGCGCAAGTCGTTTCGAATATATTTGTTTATGTTTGCGTCGGGTACTTTTTTTTTCTTCTTCCTTCGAACGAGGCGACGAGCGTTGCGTCCATCAAATATTCGACTCCAAACGACTCAAATCGATTAAAAGAAAAAAAAGTAAACGTAGTTAATAGTAGTTGCCGCTTCGAGGAGAAAAACAATCGCGCCCGCGCAAAATTGCTTAAACGGAATCGATGAGCATAACCGGAGTGAGAAGGTCGTGGGAACGGGACACCGCGCATAGAATGGGGACCCAATCGCTCCTCGGTTGTTTCGTGGCCAAACTACAATTACATCCCATACGAAAGACAGTAGGCGGCAGAATGGCTGAGGGGCGTCTTTTCCTCCTACGGGCAATCCTTTCTTCACATTAACAATAAAAAAATAAAAAAAAGTCTGCATGCAATTTTGTTTTTGTATCTGCAGTATCTAGCGTGATGAACGAGCAGTGTGATTCAAGTTATAGAAAGATTAAAAAAAAAAATCATTCAAATTAAAAAAAAAAAAAAAGATAAAACAAAACGACCTGCGAAAATTGGTTTAAAATTGTGCACCTGGAGACGTGAGCGGAGTAACTGAAATAAAGGCTTCGCCTCTACCGAGATCTGGCGCCTGTTGTGTTCGTTAACCGTACTTTGTGGTCAGTAGGATTACACCCAACAGCGAGTTTTCGGTCTATTAGAGTTTTAATGGGCAGTGACTATTTCGACGTGCACCGTCAAAATACTTCAAAACGTTATTTCGACGTCCGTAACGTCACTCGCGTAAAATGTCAAAATGGTGGCTTTATTATTTCGATGTCGCCCGTCAACGCAGCAGTCACGCTGTGGTAGGTAGCTGTTTCGTGGTTGCGTCCTGTTTAAAGTTTTTTTTTTTTTTTTTTTTTTTTTTGTCTTGTTGGTGTTGAGTTGACGTGTTGATGGAGTCATGTGTTGCGTACGTAAGAAGTTTCGGTCCTAGCTGGCACTGGAAATGTGTTATTCAACGTGTGTGTGGCGTAGGATTGGCTCGACAGTTGATACTTTCAGACATGACACGATCGGTGGCGATATTCGTAGCTCTCGCACGTCATTTCGACACACGTCTCGCTTAGAATTTTCGGATCTACAACGAAGGCGAGCTGGACATCCCTGCCTTGCCTGCAAGTAACAAATATAAGTGCGTACACTACGTAACACGGAGAAATTTGGCACGCTTTATGTGCCTCCATATTGTACGAGCGCGACTTCGAATGGTTGCAGTCTCGCTTCGCATCTGTCTCCCTCCCTGCTTTTAACAGGGGTTCGCGAGTTCGGTGTTTACTTCTAGATTCTTTTTGGTTCCTGTATATCGAGCGGATTAACCACGAAGCGATCGGGATGTTAAATAAAATGTTGTGAATGCAAACATTGCCTCCTTAATGTTTCTTGACTGGTGCGAACGAACAAATGTTCTAGCGCGGTTGTACGACATACACGCATTTTCCAATCAACTGCACATTTTATGACACGACATTTAGCTGCTTTGCTCGGATGAAACACGCGAAATAAATCACGAAAAGCAACGGTAGCGCATTCTGTAATGTTGGGCATAACCAAGCAAACGTTAGGTGCGGCCTGATAGCTGAGGTTGTACTTTGACAAGTTTTTGTTTGCATTCCAGATCACTTAAAAGGTAATAAAAACCGTCGACTGCACATTTGTTTTCGGAAAATGCGTGTGGAACAGCGACGTCGCCTCCAAGCAAGATGATATTTGTTCGACCGCCCTTTTCGATCACTTTCCAGCCCCAACTCTGAAGCTCCAAAGTTCCAAGATAAGAAAATGACAAGAAACATATTTTGACGAGGGACGTCAAAATTATTTTACACATGTTTTCACGTCTTCAAGAAGTGGCGTCACGGACGTCAAAATTATCGTTCGAATCATTTGAGCGTGGACGTCGAAATAGCCACTACCTAAGAGTTTTAGAATAGGGGGCCCCTACGCTTTGGGTTAACCAGCTTGGGGCGTCGCACTGCGCATGCGCAAAAGGTCCGCACTTCCGCAGCGTGACGCCCCAAGCAGCTTCTGTAGACCCGAAAAATGGCCTCCTTTTCTAAAAACTCTCTAATGTCTGTCTTTTCTTGTTTGGGCAAGTCTGCGCGGCCACAAGCACGTGCGTGCACGCGTTGCGTAGAGACCAGCTCATAAACATTGTGAAGCACTCGCACAAGAAAAGCAGCATCTTTTGAAGCCGCACGCCCACGCTCGGTGACTCCAATGGTTCAACCACAACTCCTAGGCTGGAGTAATTCGAACAAAATGATGCTTCCATCGCTGCTGGCGTCCTCGCACTGCACGGGCACGTTATCATGGCAAGAAAGCTAATTGCATCCGTGAGTCCCTGTGTTACGCAAGCGCCCATACAGCGAATGCGCTGCAGAACTAAATGTTCGTACTGCGGGGGGTGGATATCGCTTGGGATAACACTTGGGGATGCAGGCAAGATGCCGATAACAAAAACTGTTATCGATGCGTGGCTCTACTTACTACTCTTGCAACCTGCGGCACATACAAAAATCTAAATTTCGACGAGGAGAAAAAAGCTGTTCCTCGGCGTCCATTTCCGTCCCTTCGTATCCCAACCGTTAACGGGGCAATAAAACTAGATCTACGGGTGTGTACGTCTACTTTCTCATAAAGCTGTCTCTTTCAGGGTACTCTAGTGTGCTTAAAAGGCTGTCCTGACAGAACACGACTCTAAGCGGACGCGACTTGGCGCCTCATAGGAGCGGATGAAAAGGCGGACCCCAACACCCCTCTTTCTTTCCTTTTTTTTAGGTTAAATTGTGTAAATTTTGTTTGCTAAAAGTCGTGGGGAGCCGTGTTCTGTCAGGTAAACGGTAGTGTGCTGCGTCGACCCGCATTACCATCAAAACGTGTCGCCTGCCTAAGCCCGCGCACCAAACCGGTCGCCTTCCACGCACGAGGACGCACATGACCGAGAGACGAAGACCCGAAAACTCACGCTGACGCACTGCAGCGCCAGCTCACTCCAGCCCGACGGCATGTCCGGCAGCGCAGGGTGGCTGCGCTGACTCAGTCGAGCCGATCGGATGAGGGACTCGGTCCTCGCCTGCGTCGCCGCATCGCTGCCGCCGTGTACATCCAGAGCGGCGATCGGGACGGCCACATCCTCACCGCACACCACAAACACGCCGACGGAGACCGACGAGCGACCGCCGACACACGGGTCGCGCACGCCCGCACACGTTCACGTCAACCAAGCAAGCCGACGACGGCGACTGCGCGACCGCCGAGCCAAGCCACACGCGCGACGTAAATAATCCCCGGAGCACGGCGTGCAGGCAGGCGCGCAGGCGGACAGACCGCTGCCGCCGCCGGCTGCTGCTCGGGATGCCACTACACGCCGCCACGTGTCGCCACTTGCCGGAGGAGCGGGGAGAGAGAAATCGATCCCGTGCCGCCGCCTGCTGCAGTGACCGTACACCGGAGAGTACATCGACTTTCGCGTTGCGCCATCTAGGGGAGAAAAGTGGAGCCGCACAGGACACTGGGAACTTCGAAGCCCTGTCCATTAATTAGAGGTTTGCTCGCCATATTTCGCCACGCTTGCTTCGCACGACCTCTTTCAGTGGCGGTGTAGTTTCTGAGCGATCTAACGGGAGCGCTTTCAGCTGAGTACCATATGGAGAACAAAAACACCAAAAAAAGTTTTAATTAAAATCGCAAAAAAGAAATAGTATAAATACGGTGGCGGTGTTCCTCCGTTCCGAGAAGCGAAAAGAGAAGGAGGTACGCGAGGTAATGCTAAGGTTCAAACGTGATGCTTAAATTGTTTAATGGTCTTTACAGGGTGATTTCTGTTACGGGGGAAGGTGAACCGCTTAAATACTCGCCTCTTGAAGCAACAAGAACATTTTTAAAAAAGTCATGATTCTCCGCAATGCCCACTCTTGTGACATAACGTATCTAAGGCATCCATTCACTTGGATACTGTCTGGTTCTACTTCCTGCTTAGAACCGAACAGCAAACTGAACACCCCCAGTGCAAGCAGTCGCCGCTAGGGGCGTCTAAAGTAGCGTTCATCTTTCAGTTAATTTAATTTTGCCACAAAACACTCCTGCAATGGCAGTAACCGACATGAAGACATCATGAATGAGTAATGCCGTCAAAACATATTATCCCTCAAATGAGACCCGAACAAAGGAAGAACGTCCTCGAGAAAGTTTTCTTTTTTTCCAATTGCCCCCCTCCAATCGCCGGAGAAGGAGTCCAATTGGCTTGACCCGAAATTTCTAGTCGACATCATTTGGGAGAAGCTAGAATACAGCCTACTTATCATCCTGGCGCATGGGACGAACACACCTTGATTGAGAATAGGCGGATCGAGAACACCCCACGAAGCGGCAACGCAAAATGGGCCAGTCGTTCTTAACTGGCACTTAACTGTCTTCATTATAATGGGACCTCGTTCAAGGAATGCCAGAAGGTGAAAGTGCCCGCGCAAGACACACAAATCTACAAGAAGAGCCAAGGGGGAACCAATAACTAATCCAATCTATAAGCCGGGGGGCGACGTTAATTAAACTGCTACGGGGTTCATGCACGCGTCTCGAACACGAGGAAAAATACATTCCTATTACGTCGACTACTTTCATTCGCCCAGCATCGAAGACCGGGAGAGGAGCGTGCTTTAATCAGTCTCGGATCGAAGCTCGACTACACGTACTCCGCTCACCTCTACGCTGACAGTGTGGTGAATGCTACATGCTCGTTAGACCGGTCACACGTCTATCCTTCGCCACGTGATCACACTCCCGGTCTCTCAGCAAGAAAGCGGGGACAGCTGATGAAAGGCAGGCGGTTTATTGGTCCGGCAACGGCGTGGCTTCCACCGCGCTGTCAGCTGGGGGGATTTGCTCTGGAAATGTGCGCGTGTCGTCCACTCTTTTGCTGCTTCGGGCCAGCTTCAGTTATACAAATAAAAACCGGGGTTTAGTGCAATGACATTGATCTCGATCGGGATAAACGTTGCAACGTCTTCGAAGAGGAAATTGTGATCTCCAGATTCAGTAAGTGACGCACGGCACAATTGCAGACAGAAAGGGGGGGGGGGGGGGGGGGTCGAAGGTTACGGACGCTGCCTGGTACACCGTTGTTTTCCAATGAGGGTACCTCCGTCATTTATGTGACAAAAAAGATACATAATGTTCATTATTAGGGAAGGGGGTAAAGGTGGGGAAAGGAAGTGGGTTCCTTTCCCTATCTCAATGCGACCTCACGAGCGGTTTTGGCGGCTTCGACACGACTGCAGATCGACGCAGTTTTCAGTGGCAGTCTGACTATGCTGAGTCGGTGACAGGTTAAGAACTCGGCAGATGCTGAGCCTCAAGCACGAGCTTTCTGCCTTTGATAGCACTTCGAAGCACACGCAGACAAAGCCCGGAGGAAGGTAACGAGCGCGTGCTAAAGGCCGATCGTCTACTGGGCTCTTAAACGGATGCTGAACCGAAATCTGGGTTCCACAAAGTACGGCGGCAAAAGTGTGCAACAGGATGCTACAAACATCAAAACATAACTCATACAACGATATATCAAACAAATGATCGTATTTTTCAAAAAAAAAAAAAGAGGCGCATTCGACAGATATGTTTACGTCTTGTTTTTCCGAGAAGGAGAGGGAACGGCCTCGCGCCCTCGCCGCCTTGAGGGGCCGAAACGAAGAGAGGAGGAAACGAGATATCTTGACGTAACGCGCTTCGTCGGCCTCGTTCAACCTCGACCTTTTTTTAAAAAAATACGACCGTCGAGATATCGCCTTTTGAGAAGTGTTGTAGGGATTGAAGTGTGCCGCCTACAGCTCCTGCGTTGTTTTCTGAAATCCAACTATGGGTTCACCATCCCTTTAAAGGCGTCATGAAACGATATCGGGTTGGAATGTTCATGACCTTGCAGAGGCGTACTGTGCCTAGTACGGAAGCTGCTTTGTCGCAGTGAAATTGCGAGGATAAAAGGGGAGTATACTTTCAGTCTTGCCTTCGCAAAGCTCGATGAAGTAATTGTGGGATCGAAGCCAGAGTCGTGTCCAACCACTGAAGCGATGAGAAAAGCCGAACTCAAAACCGGTTCAGACACTTGCGTTTGAGTGCGTTTGACTGCGTTGCGTCGAAAACTGCAAGCGAGTCACCGGCATATCTGTGCTTCGTATGAAGCGTAGAATCCAATTCAAGGTATCATCTTGGCACGCGAGATAAAGGCACGCGATGTGCCTTTATCTCTGCCCCCTCTGCGGAAACAACTCCGCAAAACAAATAAAGAAGGGTGACACCTCAGCTGCCCTTGGTCATTGCTCCTTGTTCCCCAGAAAGAGAGGGGTTTTACAGTGATGCTTTCCGTAGAAACCTTAGCTACGAGAAAGTCGAGCGCAGAAGAAGGAATCAGACTTCGCGTATGCACCTTTTCCAGGAGAACGCAGCCATCTTGAAGGTCGTCATTTCTAGCATGCGTTAAAACGCCTATCCGACCTCTCCACTCCGCTAAGGTGTCCACGAAAAATGTGTTATTGTCACACATTCTTGTTTTGCCTCACCTATACGATCTCGTAAATTTCAGGTCGAAATGTCGTATTCTTCGTCCTGCATACCAGTTACGAAACCCACGTGACTGAGAACGAAAGAAAACGAAAAACATCCATACTCGAACAATCGCATGGTGGGCGCGCGAAAGCCGTCTGCGACTCGTGCAAATAAGTTCAAGAGGTGCACCCACCGCGTCCACGTGGGCAGCGAATCCGCAAAGCGAGCATCCGGTCGCGCGGGCACTCCGCGTTATCCACTGCGGGAACTCGCGTTCCTCGTTTCCCGATTTAATCTTCGTCCACCTAGATATCTACTACGTGCGGAAGACTCGAAACCTTCCTCACCGGAATGGTCACGTCAGCGACCATTCCGGTGACCATGCAGATAAGCGCGTACCCTAAGGCAGGATACTATTCGTACCGCAGAAATGATTTTTTCGCGGCAAGAACCAGTAGGAATGAGTCACGACCACCAGCAGGACACGATGACGCCAGGTGCAAGTAACCCATGGTCACTGGCAGAATGGGAACTGCAGGGAAGTTTCTTAGCTTCGATAATGCTTCGGCGTCTCGCGAGCCAAAGCACGACGGAAGACAACGAGAGCGTGCTGGAGGCCAGCCAATCGAAAAAGACGCCCTGCCGCTCTCATCCTGGCAGTCGCCGTAGGAAAAGAAAACTCAAAGAAACGATGCCGTTGCTCCAGAACACATTTTACTGCGGTACAGTTCTCTCTATCGTCAAAAACAGGTCCTGAAAAAGCGGATTTAACACCCCCCCCCCCCCCCTTTCCACTCCTTAAATCGCCCCTGCATTTAAGTTGTAACGCACAACAATGCAGGCATACGGAAACGACCCCCCGTATTCGCCATAAGTTGCGACGCCAACCATGTGACAACGTCTCCGCCAGACACAACGTCTCGACCAGGGAACCTACAGGGTATGGCGTCCAGCGAATACCACCCATCGCAACAATGCGGCAGTCGGTCTCGTAGCTTGCATGCCGGAGGCGCTCCATCCTGCACTTTACCTCTTTCGGTTAGCACCACGGTGTGGTTAGCACTAAGGCCAGCTCGTATTGCCGCTGACTGTATACGTGTCCTCGACATCCCGTGTTCACTGATCCCCCAGCGCAGTCGGCATGCTCTCCCACCGGCCGTAGCTCATTAGCCCGAACCCCGCTGCATACCCAGTCAACCAGTTTCGACACTGGGACGAGTTCACTGAACAGTTCCGCCACGGCGGACGCGTGCCCTTGCCCCCCTTTTCTGCGTACCCTCGACTCCCGTCCGGCATGCACGCCAGGGCGCTCCGCCGATGCATCGACGATACAAAAGCGACAACGTCCTATCCGGAACACGTTGGACGGGCCGAGTTTCACGAATGCGACGTCATATTTGAGCGATACGGCTGATACATCTACGCGCTTTGACGCATGCTCTCGCGGCTCATTTCCCATTGATGCTACGCCATTCCCCACCCGCTGCGCCGCGAATCCGCGAATCCTCCCCCCCCCCCTTTATCGCAAGATATAATAATAATAATAATAATAATAATAATAATAATAATAATAATTTATTTGGGTAGATATTTCTTCAAATCGAGGCACGGGTCTGTCAAAGCCAGTAAAGGCTTGTGGGACAGCACCCTACAGGTCATAGTCACAATATCCCCACACACAAACAGTATCAAGCTCATCATACAGTATCTACTCTCGAATTAAATAAAATATGATGAAAAAAAAAAACATACACATAGGTTCAATAACTACACTGTGATGCAATAGATGGATATGTAAAAATAAAAACCATACACGCGCA